ACCTTTTGTTTCTCTAGCGGGGCTAGAGAGAAAAGGTCAATGTCATGGTTCATGAGTGAGCCACTGGGATGGAACAGCATGACTTCAGACTTCTTCTCATTGAAGCTTAAGAAGTTTAAAGCCATCCAGTCCCGGATGTCAGCCAGGCAGTCAAGAAGAGGCTGAATAGAGCGTGTGCCTCTGTGCCTCAGGGGGAAGTAAATTTGGCAATCATCGGCGTAGAAATGAAAGGGTATGTTGTGTTTGCGGAAAATAGCACCTAGTGGCAGCAGGTATAAAGAAAAGAGAAGGGGACCGAGGATGGACCCCTGCGGTACCCCCCACTGGAGCGCTGTCGATGCCAAACTAAAATCTTTGATATTGACACAGAAGGTTCTGTCAGAGAGGTAGGACCCAAACCATTTAAGGGCTGACCCTGTGATGCCCACCCACTGCTCCAGTCTAGAAATGAGGATCTTGTGGTCGATGGTGTCAAAAACAGATGTCAGGTCCAATAGGACAAGCAGCACAGAATCACCTGTGTCTGTGGATATGAAAATGTCATTAAAAACCTTCAGTAGAGCAGTTTCAGTGCTATGGAGAGATTTGAAGCCAGATTGGAATAACTCTAGGATAGCGTGATCCCCCAAAAACTGTTTTAACTGAGACTCCACAATTTTTTCCAGTAGTTTAGAGGTGAATGGGAGTCTGGAGACAGGCCGGAAGTTGGACATGACTGAGGGGTCAATGTTAGGTTTTTCAGGAGGGGCTGGACAGCAGCATGTTTAAAAGTTTTTGGCACCACACCTGAGGATAAACTGCTATTCAGAATAGCGAGAATAAAAGGACCCAGGGTAGGAAAAACTTCCTTTAGTAGTCGACGGGGGATAGTTTTTTGAAAGTGGAAATCTGAGGTCTCCTCTTCTGTTAAGAGACGGCTTTTCTCTTTTTACATATTGCTTCCTTCACCCCCCTCTCAAACCATCTGTGTTCTCGGTCCAAAATGTGCACATTTTGGTCCTCAAAAGAGTGTCCCTTATCTGTGAGGTGGAGGTGAACAGCTGAATCTTGTCCAGAGGAGGTGGCTCTCCTGTGTTGAGCCATGCGTCTGTGAAGAGGCTGTTTAGTTTCTCAATGTAGAGGTCTGGACAGTCCTCGCTGCACTGAACCACATACACTACACCACTCTGTTTGTGTATGGGTGTTCTGTCCTTAGGGTGGACCAGCCTCTGTCTGAGAGTCCTGCTGGGTTTGAAATGTACTGGGATCTTGTGTTTGTTGAAGATCCTTCTGAATTTCTCTGATACTCCAGCAACATAAGGGATGACAATGTTTTTCCTTCTGTTCTTCTCCTTTTTCTGTTTATTAATGTGTTTTGTAGATTTCCTCTCTGACTTGACAAAAGCCCAGTTAGGATATCCACATGTTTGAAGAGCTTCTTGAATGTGTTTCTGTTCCTTCTCCTTCCCTTCTGTCTTTGTGGGGATGCGTTTGGCCCGATGTTGTAAAGTTCTGATGACAGAGAGTTTGTGTTCCAGTGGATGGTGGGAGTCAAACAGAAGATACTGGTCTGTGTGGGTTGGTTTTCTGTAAACTTCAATGTTGAAGCTGTCCTCTCTCTCCATCTGAACCAAACAGTCCAAAAAAGGCAGCTTGTTGTCGTTTGCATCCTCTCTGGTGAACTCGTTGTTATCGACCAAGTTGATGTGTCTGGTGAACACTTCTATTTCCTTGGCTTGGATTTTGACCCAGGTGTCATCCACATATCGGAACCAATGGCTTGGCGTTGTTCCCTCATAGGAGTTTAGGGCTCTCTGTTCCACTTCCTCCATGTAGAGATTGGCAACAATGGGTGACACTGGAGATCCCATGGCACAACCGTGCTTCTGTCTGTAAAAACTGTCATTGAACTTGAAATAAGTGGTGGAGAGGCAGAGATCCAACAAGGTGCAGATCTGGTCTGGGGTGAAGTTGGTCCTGTTGATTAAGTCCTTGTCTTGTAGAAGTTGTTTTCTGACGGTTTCTTCTGCTTCAGAGATGGGTATGCATGTGAAAAGAGAAGTCACATCATACGATACTGTAGTGAACTTAACCTGATGTCAAAACTAAGCCTAAGGTCAAAACCCTTGACCTTAAGAACCTTGTGGGACAGAAACTGTCATTTCATTGATTTGAATCCAGAAATACAGGTTCACCCATCCTGAGACTCTCTTTCTTGAAAATCAAGTGAAAGAACACTCTCTTTTTATTATCATTACTATTTTACAAATGTTGATAATCAAAGTGTCTTAGTTCAAACCATTTTAGATGTTGCAGTGAACTAATCAATTTTATTAACTGTGAAACAGTGTAATAATTTTTTAATCCTCATGCAAAGTTAGAATTCATGTTAAGGTCTGTTACAGATTTTTATGCATTTTCTGATTTCTGTCTTTGAATGAGTAAGTGTGCGTTTTCCAAGGTCAGGAGTCGAAGCAGACATGTGTTGGAACAACTGTCTTGTTTTACATCCTCTCAGACGTCAACGGAGAAGTTGGCACCTGTTTCTAAAACTCGCCAAAACAAAACTCTCTCTGTCTCTGAGAACAGTTTAATCTGTTCCATAACAATTCTTGCTGTTTTCTGACTTCTAGTAACCTCTTACGTCACAAACCACACCCCTGTCTGGTTGTTATTACCCAATCAGGGACACTCAAATATACCGGAAATAGAGCTCTTTAAATTGCCGGTACTTCCTAGTTCTCTCAGTTCGGCGGCGCGGAGAAGTTCTGAGATGTTCGCAGTTCTGTGAAGTCGTTTGGGAGAACAGAAGTCCAGC